GTGTGTGTGTGTGTGTGTGTGTGTGTGTGTGTGTGTGTGTGTGTGTGTGTGTGTGTGTGTGTGTGCTTAGTTAGTTTTAAAGACCCCAATAAAGCTCAGATTAAAACTCGAACCTTGATTGGACTGATTTGCTACCATATACATATATTTATATTTGTCGTATTTTGGTGTTTGCATTTCAGATGACTTCGCTCCTGGTTCACAATAACTTCATGCCATTCTTTTAATGTACAGTAGGGAGTAAACTGTTAAGACGTTTATTGTTTCCATAGAAAAGTCTGGCAAACCAATATTGTAGCCAAAATAATATTACATAACAAAATTGTACCCAAAAGAAAAGTTTAAAAAAACATGCAAAGCAAGGCCTGGTGAATAAACACACATTATGAATTGGTCCTGTGGTGAGTTACAGTAGATTTAGAATTGGACGATGAAACCTTCTTTATTGGTCACACATGTTCATGCACAAAACAAAACACACACACACACACACACACACACACACACACACACACACACACACACACACACACACACACACACACTATAGAGGAGTCACTTGGGTCTCCTCTCTCTCTTATGCAACTCGTCCTACGCACACTGTTGCCATAGCGACTTAGTGCCCCTTAATTATACTGCATTGAATGTGGTCAACAAGGAACATGGGTCACCTTGGTAACTGAAACATTACAATTGCTTCCTTTACCAAGGAGATGCCTCACACATACACACACACACACACACACACACACACACACACACACACACACACACACACACACAGGAAACAGTTTTAGTACAGCGTGAGGAATAATGCTCAGTTAGACATATGTTGGGCACTGAGACATCAATGGGAGATGATGGACACACAGCATGATATAATAAAGTATTACATGAAAAGAACATATTCAAGTAAAGTACAAAAGCATTTAATATCTACTGCATCAATCTTGTCACTTTAATTTTAATCAGATTTGGTAGAAATTATTTTGGTTTCGAGTGCTACGACGCTGGTCTCATCCTGACACAGGGCTGTCCAAGAAGAACCTTGTTGAAAGAGACATAGTTTCAGCTTCTTTTGAATGTGTCCATAAGTCTGTTTATAAGTCTACACATGCAGTGGGTTTCTTTGTGTGCACAAATTAGTGTTGTAGTCGAGATCACCTAAACCGAGACCAATACAAGACCAAGACCAGAGTGTACCAAGACCAAGACTTAAGAGGTCGAGACCAAGTCAAGACCAAGATTTAAGAGGGCGAGACCGAATCAAGACCGGAACCTACTGTGAATCCAACAGTAAATCAGTGAAGTCATGTGATTGGTTGCATTTTAAACAAAGCGTTTTACATCCAATCACACCTAGGGTTGGGTATCTTTTGGATTTTAACGGCTCCGGTTCTGTTTCCAGTTCTTCTTTTGATTCCGGTTCTTTTTGGTTCTTAATTTTGGTTCTTTGAGAGGGTAAACATAAGTCCCATGCCAATTTCACTTGGAGAAAAATATATTTATGAAAACATTTAGTCAAATCTGTATTCATATTTACAAATCACTTCATATTGCTTCATTTGGTTTCTGTGATTGGCAGCTCTGCATTGGTTTTGCATTCACAAGTTAGTTCTAGGTGATGTAATTTGAGAATGTACAATTCCCCAGTCTCCTCTGATGTTACACTGCAGCCTGCCTGTTGGACACAGAGTCCATCCATACAGTCTGTGTCCAACACATGTCCTGCAATACACATGCAACAGCTGCCCAGCTGCTTCACCTCTCTCTCTCAGAGTGATGGAGCTGACCAATAGGATCCCTGCTGGCAGCATATTTAGCATTGAAACAGAGTAAGCCCAGCAGTAATCACCACATTTCCTCACAAATGGCTAAATTAATTCAGACTCAAATGTTATTTGTATATTGTCCTCCGCCTCAGTTTTTATGATCTTGCCTTGAGCCGAATGAAAGAATTAATAACAATTAAACCTTCCAGGTTCTCTCATGAAAATGTTTATTGTCGCATAAACATAAGATATAGAAAAAGAACAGGATGGCTAGAAGGAGGCATTACACAGCAAACTAAATGCATGTGAGTTGTCCTCAACTCAAAGCCCTCAGCAAACTTGCCCCCCCCTACCTCTGTGACCTCATCGAACGACACACCCCCACCCGTCACCTCAGGTCTGCTGAAGCTAACCTACTGCAGCCCGTCAGGACAAAGCTCCGGACCTGGGGTGACAGGGCCTTCGCAGCAGCCTCCCCCTCACTCTGGAACTCCCTCCCCAGCCACGTCAGATCCGCCAACACTCTCACATCATTCAAACAATCCCTCAAAACTCACCTTTTCACTCTTGCCTTCAACTCCTAATCAACTAACCCCTTGCCCTTATTCCTCCTAGCTTAGCACTTTCTACTTTTGTTGTTATTTTTGTTTTACTTGCTTGTAAGCGCTTTGAGCACCAGGAAAAGCGCTTTATAAATGTAATGTATTATTATTATTATGTGCTGGTCATTTTTATTTCAGGCCAATAAAAAACACAAAAAGAAAATGACTTTAAAGATAAGTAGAACATATTTTTTGTCCAGCAGTTAAACTTTTGCAAATAGACAAAAGTTGCATATTTATAGTGGATGTTTAATTGTTTAATTGGGGAGAAAAGAGTAGACATCATTCAAAAGAATCTAACTGGTTTACTGAACTTTTTTGTGAAAAAAACTACCCATTATTATTTAAAGCAGAGAAGTGTAACCTGAAGGGGATATTTAGGATCAATGTTTGTCCCCCTGTGGTAAATGACTTCTTATGACGGATGCTTTCCACAATGCAAATTAGTTTTTTAAGATTGTTGGCCTGGGAAGGTTGTAACTGGTCAGTTCAATGTCACCAGAACCATACAGGTAATTGACCAATAGAAGGATACTAAAAGTAACTAAAGTTACTGCTCATCCTCTGTTCTGGTGTGTGTGTGTGTGTGTGTGTGTGTGTGTGTGTGTGTGTGTGTGTGTGTGTGTGTGTGTGTGTGTGTGTGTGTGTGTGTGTGTGTGTGTGTGGTTCAGGAGTCCTCTGCAGTATTCTTCCTCTGCAGTGGAATCTGTTTTATAATAGCAGACACTGAAAAAAAAAGGGGGGGGGGGCTCCTCTGCAAAACAGGGAATATATCAATCAACACACACTAAAACACACACAGACCCGTACACCCAGAGTTCATTCCATGACTGTACACAATGTGTACAGTCATGGAATGAACTCTGGGTGTACGGGTCTGTGTGTGTTTTAGTGTGTGTTGATTGATATATTCCCTGTTTTGCAGAGGAGCCCCCCCCCNTATGTCACATGTATTATTGCTACACAAACATTATATTGCGGTTTTAGTGTCGCCAACAAAAAAACTGCAAAATGCGTCTATGATTATTTTTTGTATTTTCGATCTTTCCAATCCAGACGAGAGATCTCTCTCTCCGCCTGTGTGCAAGGGGGCGGGGCAGTTTACACACTCTGCTACATGCAGCAACACACACACACACACACGGAGGAGATGGCGGAGAGCACGCGCTCCGAGGTGTGGTTAAACTTTACCCGTCTCGATGTGGACAATGCTCGCTGCCAAAAGGGCAATAAGAGTTTAGCATGTAAGGGCGGTAACGAGCAATTTGTCTAAACATTTAGCAAAAGTGCTCCACATCCAGACGGAGGAATGCACCGGGTTCGACTGTGTTTCTAGTAGCTCTGTAGCCCCGTCCACGAGTAACGTTTCCACGTCAGGTGTTATGTATGCTAGCAACAACACACGGAGTTAACTCAATTATACAAACATGGGTTCATGATTAGAGGTAACTGACTTATTTATTTTTGTTACAGTTTCAGCTATTCTGTTTACAATTATGTTATCAGATTATTTAATACGATTTGTTAAAACATTTCTTTTGATGTGAAATATTATGTATTTCATTTAAATAAAAAGCAATGTTAGTTTTTTTCACAATTTGTTTAGTTAGTTTACCAAATTTTTTCCTCCAAAAGAACCGATAAAAGTACCGTTAAAAGACCGGATCGATAAGCGGTATCGAGTATATATAAGCGGTATAACCTTAACGATATTACATTATTATTACTTGTTAGACGCTTTTATCCAAAGCGACTTACATACTCAACACTGTGGGCAATCCCCACAGGAGCAATTTGGGGTGAAGTGTCTCAGGGACACAACGACATGCTGACTGCAGTGGGGTTTGCACCTGTGCCCCCCTGATCTGATCACCAACACACAACCCACTGCGCCACACGCCGCCCCATCCCTATGTTCATATGTGGAGATGTTTCTGCTGAACAAAACATGCAAGTATCACATCACTTGTTTGCCACAGAGCTTATTTTCAGAAGTTTTTCAAAACCCATGGAATTGCTAACTTCAGGGTCACCCTACAGAAATAGCAGCACTCTCTATAGAGCGTGATCAGGTCTCTCACCGGACAGCCAGCGAACACGTGGAGGAACCTCTTGAGCCGGACGTCGCGGCTGAGCAGCTCCCTGTCGCTGCTGGAGGTCAGGTAGACGAGCAGCTGCTTCACCAGCCCGCTGTGCTGGATCTCAAAGGACGACACGTCGGACTCTGATACAATACTGGAGATCTCCACCAGGCACTCGATGCCACCGTCCACCTGGTACAGAAAACACATCATCAGAAAGATGTCTTAATACTGGCGTCAATTCAATACAAATTCAGTATCTGTATTTCTCTATTCATCACAAGCGCTGTGATATATTTGCGTTTTTTTCAGCTCTGCGTCTGCCATTCTCGTAGCTTCGTCTTGCGTGTTTACGATCTGGTGGCTACGTTTTTATAGAGCTTTAACCCCAGAAACGTCACGAACACGGCAGAATGAGAAGACAAGAGAACATACAGACAGAGGGCTATGCAGATACGGACAGTACCACACATTGTGCCCTTAGCAATCTCCACAAGAACAGCAATACATATGGAATTTAAGTGGATGAATGTTTGCAGTTGAATGGTGTGAGGCGTTACCTGCAGGTTGAGCTGCTCCGTGGCTGTGCAAAGTCTCTGGAGTACATTCAGTGCGGGGTTGCTGCCATCCACATTTTCAGAGCTGAAGTAGCGCTCCACAAACTTACTGGCCGTTTCTTTGATCCAGGCTTTTATTTTGTCTCTGCAAACAAATACAAAAATCTCAATTACTTATGGTGATCGATCGCAAGAAACAGAGCACCACAGTTTGGATAAAACCTTCCTCGTTGACTCATCGTACCTGTTATTTGAAATTGAGTCCTTGGGCGGGGCCCTCGCCAGCCCGCTGACCCCCGCTGTGCGCGACGGCTCTGAGTTGGCGTTGTTGGTCTGGGCTCCCAGCTTGCCCCAGGTCTTTGGGTTAAGACTGGCCAAGAAGGAGGATTTGGGGGACTGAGTACTGGTGGGGCTCTTGGCTGTAAAGGAAGGGAGATTACAGAGGTTGAGAAACACCACAAAATGCCATTTCAAATCATGATGATTCAGGGCTGTGCAATTCATCGTATTTTAATCTCGACGATTATTTTTGCTGCATTCCCTTTCGCAAAGATGCTCTCAATTTGTCTTGCGTTATACATCCTTCTCCGCCAGGTTGAGTTGTGACTTCAGGTCTGTTTAATAAATCCATATAAAAAACACGTTACAAGGGAAGCTTTAGTTGCCGTGTATTTATTCTCCGTCCCTAGCGCACAGTCGACTTTTACTAACTCGTCAAGCTGGAGCCTCTTCGCTCGCTACTTCCGGTTTACGGATAAGGGGTTACCCAAATAATAATAACACATTACATTTATAAAGCGCTTTTCCTGGTGCTCAAAGCACTTACAAGCAAGTAAAACAAAATCACAACAAAAGTAGAAAGTGCTAAGGTAGGAGGAATAAGGGCAAGAGGTTAGTTGATTAGGAGTTGAAGGCAAGAGTGAAAAGGTGAGTTTTGAGGGATTGTTGGAATGATGTGAGAGTGTTGGCGGATCTGACATGGCTGGGGAGGGAGTTCCAGAGTGTGGGGGGAGGCTGCTGCGAAGGCCCTGTCACCCCAGGTCCGGAGCTTTGTCCTGATGGGCTGCAGTAGGTTAGCTTCAGCAGACCTGAGGCGACGGGTGGGGGTGTGTCGTTGGATGAGGTCACAGAGGTAGGGGGGGGGCAAGGTTGTTGAGGGCTTTGAAAGTGAAAAGTAATATTTTAAAGTCAATGCGGTGTTTGATGGGGGGCCAGTGGAGGTCATGGAGGATAGGGGTGATGTGGTCGGAGCGTCGGGTGGAGGTGAGCAAGTGGGCAGCTGAGTTTTGGACATATTGAAGTTTTTTTAGTGTGAATGCAGGTGATCCAAAAAGTATGCTGTTGCAGTATTCCAGTCGGGATGTTATGAAGGCATGGATCAGAGTTTCAGCAGCGGTCGATGAGAGGGAGGGTCTGATGCGGGCAGTGGGCGTAATTTCCACTGGTGACAGGGGGGACATAGTCCCCCCCACTTTTCCAAAA